AGTCCCATAGGAAACAGGCTGTAAGCTTAATGTAATGATCTCTTTGACAGCACAGCTTATGGAGATGAGCATAATGAGTAGGTTCCCAGCAAAAGACACCAGGAGATGCAAGTTTGATAATGTTTAATATTCAAGCTGTGTTTGCCTTTCTCTCTTCCTAGGTAAGTGTTCTACCTACATTCCATATAGGAGTACAATTTCCTGTGAGTTATATTACCATAGGTATCTTTTACAGGCATCATAAAATCATGGCAATGCATCTTACAAAGCCAGTCATAATGTAACCGTGCAACCATGGCCAGTATGAAAGCATGTACAGTAACTTCTTCATAATAGTCAAGTCCCAGGAAGGAAAGAACACAGCAGAATGGCCAGGAGCAATCACAGAGAAGAAAGGAAGGGAAAGCACATTCTAGGATTCTTGAGGAATGGGCTGCAATAGAAAAGAGGTGGGCCCCAGGTCATGTGATCACAGCACAGTGACAGATCCGTGGCCCCCAAATGTTAACTGTGTTTAGGTAAGAAGTGTCAATAGGGCAATATAAGGAACAAGGGAAAAAATGAAAAGGAAGAGAACAAGTTCCCAGGGAATAGAACTACAGCGACAATTTCCTGCCTCTTTAGCAAAAGTATTTAGCTCCACTTTCACATTTGGACCTGGCCAACTAGAAGAGAAAAGTGTGGATGCTCAATTTTCTTAGACACATAGAAACCATCTCCCTAGATGGTGCTAGTTTTAAATCCACTGCAATTCACCCAATTCTCAGGGGCCTGTGGTAGATTTCATCAGGATAACTACCTTTGTGTCCTGTATTCAGATAGTTGAGGATGGGCAGAGATTGGTAATAATTCTTGTAAGGATGCTTCCACAATGTGGTGACTTCTCATTTCTTCTCTTTCAAAGTCATGTGAGTCTGGGCTCGGAAAACTCTGGAAAAGCATTCCTTAGCTTTTAAGAGAAGTTTGTATGTGCAATTGGTTGTGGGAAATTTATTTCAAAGCAGGGCTAGTAAGACTTATAGATTAGGAAAGCAAATTCTTCTGAAAACTGTTTCTATGAAGTTTGATTTGGAGTTTGCAGCAACAGTAGCAGCCGCAACTTCTGGAAATGGGAGTTATTGTTTGGCATTAGGCTGAGTCCTTGGAAAGTAGGGCATCTTGGAGAATTGCCAATGAAGGAATAAACAAGTGATATACTTAGCCAGACAGCCAAGGCAGTGGGAGGCACAACCGTAGGCATTTACTATGATATTCCTGCAATTGCTAGTAAATAATTCCTCAGAAAATGCTACAGCATTGCCTAACGAGGCAGACACAGCCAAGATCAATAAGAAACAGGGCAAAGGAATCATCAGAACCTGAACAATGGTCAACTTTGAGCTCCCCTTCCCCAAGTATTCTCACATTAGACAGAGGTAGCCCAGTTTAGTTGAGTTCTTCTTCAAATCGACTTTGTGGCATGGTTTCAAAGCATAGGAAGTCTTTCATTTGTATTCTTCTCTTACTTGTGATGTTAGAACTTCTGTCTTACTGAAATGTCTTTAAGGTCATCATAATTGTTTAGTGATAGGGTCAGAGGGACAGCTTCAAAGGGGAGTGCACATGAGAATGGTCAGACAAGTTTATCAGTATGACAAAGTATTTGGTACAAGGAACATGTGAGAATAGGGATCTGGGAGTTCGGTGGAATAACAATGCGAGTGGAAAGGAGTAAGAGAAGGAGTGTGTGGTCCCACAAAGGGTGTGTGTGTGTGTGTGTGTGTGTGTGTGTGTGTGTGTGTAAAGGTTGAGGTTCCTTAGAAAGAAAAGACTATGGGACTTAAAATTGATGATGTTATATTAATCAAATTAGGACCCAATCTAGTCAGGTGGTATATGGAAATCCATGCCAATTTATACAGGGGAAAAATAGTTATAGAACATAGAACCAAAAATCTCAAGAACAGGAAGGCCTTGCAGAGAATTATCAAATTAACCTTCATTATTCAGGTGAGTGATTCTGTGAGGAAATTGAAAGCTGTAAACACGTATGGCATACACTAAGTGGTTGGGAGGAATGTGGTGGTTGAGGCTCCCCTGCTCTTCAGGCTGACTCCATGTTTATTCCGTGCTCTGTAGAGACTCACGTTAGTTCAAGGAACATTCCTGGATCATAGCTGACTGTATCTAGTTTGGCTGAGAGCAATCATTGAAACTGATTATTTTCTCATCTCCTAATGAGACACTATAGTACATACAGAAAAAAATTACAAAGTTTATTTGTTTATCAACAAGTTGGTCTTACAAAGAGACAAACTACATTGAGTATAAAGCAACTAATTATTTATAGAGATATAAGACTAAACTCTTCTTGGTGAAAAAACTGCAGGGAAACACTTGTTTTGGCTATGAAATTATTTTCCCATTAAAAAGAAAACTACTGCATGGTAAATGACACCTATTCAGCACCTACTATAGGCCACACAATTCCATAGCTACCTTTTTTTTTTTTTTTGCAAAGAGTTGTTATTCCAGGTTACAGAGGAAACTCTAGGATTCCACTGAAAATTGATTTATTTGACCCAGCACTGTTAATCGGAGGGAAATATAAAGTTTTATGTCCAGTTTGGTGTATTCCAAAGTCAAACTGATTTTTAACCATAGCTCACTGATGCTTTAAGAACTCCAAATCCCTGTGCCTCAAAAATGTCCTTTCTCTTCAAAGGATATAAGCAGGTAAGCATGGAATGGGGTGTGCAAACTAGCCTGAATATTAAGAGGAGGTTTACAATATGTTAAGTTACTAATTGTAGGGAACTCTGAAGCTGAGCTGTGAGATCTGGAATGGGTTAAGAGGTTGGAAGGCCACCTCAACAGATAGTGCTAGAAGGGCTGAGAGCTGGACCTTGAAAGACAGATAAAGTGGAAAGCATGATTGAATTTGCCTGGGTTGCAATCTTCTCTCCCAAAACAATAAGGGAGTCAGCTATCCACACAAACCCTGTTTTGTCTCTATGATTGTGATAATAGTAAACAGCCTTGTCCTCTGCACGTACCCATGGTAACCCTCCCTGTACTAAACCTAATAGATAAACTTGCTAACTGGAATTTGGATTTCAGAAACTCGTGAGTACTGAATCCTCTAGCTCCACACTTGCTTAACTCTCTCTCTATCTTTCCTCATTTCTTTGGCTCCAGTATCCTGTTGTGCAGTCCTAGACTGTGGGTAGCAACAAATAATGGTCATGTATTTGGTCAAGTCCATATGTTTTTTCCTCTGGTATGTTTCTCCTTAGGGAAGATAAATACCTTGCTTGAATAGATTGGAAACCTAGCTATTTGCTGGCACTATCCTCCCAGGCATAATCTCACATAGCAGTGTGTTCAAGGCCTTTCAACTCCCCGTTGAACTATCCTTCTCTTCAGGGAAGGCCATGTGGTTTATTGGCTCTGAGCTGCAATTAGAGGAATATATTGTCACCAACCTCCACTCCTGTTTGTTTCCATCTCTGTGAGAACCACACTAAAATGTTGGTAATTGATCTTGTTAACTGACATATTTGGGCTTTCTGATATTGTGTAGTCTCTTAGGAACCTTTTACATGACAACAAAGGAACACTTGTGTGGTCCAAAAATGCAGTATCTTTTCTGAATTTATTTTTCCAGTGACTACATACACTATGTGGCTGGTCCATGAAGGAGTAGGAGAGTTTGCCTCTCCTCCTTGTTTACATGTCCATGCAGAGTGAGAGAATTGTGGCAAACTCTTAGTTTCCCCTGGAATATTCTCCAGCTCCTTACAAATCCTGGCTTTTGTTTTTTTTTTTTTTTTGTACAGACCTGTGCATGATCTGATTTCTAGAATAGGGCTGGTTATATACAGCATGCACATTCAACAACTGTGCTTCAATAAGTGCATGTGAATTTCTGAGTAGTGAATTTCTCATTCTTATTTTTTCAAACTCACAGGGAAAATGATTTCTCACCTTACATCCTAACAACCACTATTGTTTTTCCCTACTTCCTTTTCCATTGAGCCCTGTCACACAAAATTTCTTCTACTTAACTCTCCCTAACTATGGATGAGTCCCTTTTGGGACTAGCGGTGTAGGAAATGAAGCATAATAAGGGAATTGAATTAGACTTTTCCACAAACAGCAAGTGATTACTCATGAGGTACAAGTCAAGGTAAGCTTACAGAATTCCTGCTTGTCCCTGTGAAAGAATGAGACTTGGGCTGTACTTTTTTAAAAATCACCAAACACTGCAGACAGAATATAGTAAAGAATTGGTAGAGGAGAGGGTAGGTACAGGTTGAAATTTTCTGTTTTAGACATAGAATGAAGTTCAAAGAAGTTAACTTCAACACATTGGGGAAAGGAAAAAATAGATATGTAAAGGGTAGGCAAAGAGCCTTATGCAATTTCAGATGGTACAGCAGGCCTATATAAAAATATCAATATAAAAAAATATCAAAGCAGATGGAAGCTACTAGGGTAATATTAAAACAAAAAAATAATCACTAAGAATCAACTCCACATCTCAATCTATTCTAACTCGGAGGACATGAAGATTGAATGTCCAACATTACTCAGCGAGCTGTGCTTTTGGCTTGTGTTTTAGGCTAATTGTTTCATCTAATCTCTTCCTATACTTCATAAAATCATGTTGGGTATTTGGTATATTCCTAAAATCATGCGGTATGTTCTCTCCCCCCCACCCCCACTCTCTCTTTTTTAAGATGAGAACCTTCATCCAGGAGATAATTAGGGTTTGTCTAAATGCTTACTTGAGACCTTTCTCATAATTATTTATTTTATTCAACAAGTATTATATGTTAAGAATCATGCAAAACATTTTACAAATATTAAGCCATAAATCTAAAGTATAGATACTGATCTAATTACCATTTTATGGATGGCGGAGTTTTGCCCCCATGGTAAAGCTAGGAGCCATCATATTCTTGTTGTGTTGTCTTTCCAGGACATAGATATTGTATGGGAGCTTCTGACCACAGAAGATGTCCAGCACGATTGGCCAAATCATGGAATCTCCTAATTACACTAACCTGGATCCTTCTATCTTCTTTCTCCTGGGCATCCCGGGTCTGGAACAATTCCATCTGTGGCTCTCACTCCCTGTCTGCTGCCTCGGCACAGCCACAATTGTGGGCAATGTCACCATCCTTGTGGTCGTTGCCACTGAACCAACCCTGCACAAGCCTGTCTACCTTTTCCTGTGTATGCTTTCAACCATCGATTTAGCTGCCTCCTTCTCCACTGTTCCCAAGCTACTGGCAATCCTCTGGTGTGGAGCGGGGCACATCTCTGCCTCTGCGTGCCTGGCCCAGATGTTCTTCATTCATGCCTTCTGCATGATGGAGTCCACTGTGCTGTTGGCCATGGCCTTTGACCGCTACGTGGCTATCTGCCATCCACTCCGCTACGCTTCTGTACTCACTGACACCATCATTGCTCGCATTGGGGTGGTAGCTATGGTGCGAGGCTCTCTGCTCATGCTCCCATGCCCCTTCCTCATTGGGCGTTTGAGCTTCTGCCAAAGCCATGTGATCCCACACACGTACTGCGAGCACATGGCCGTGGTGAAGCTGGCCTGTGGAGACACCAGGCCGAACCGTGTATATGGGCTGACAGCGGCGCTGCTGGTCATCGGGGTGGACTTGTTCTGCATTGGTCTCTCCTACGCCCTCATTGCCCAAGCCGTCCTTCGCCTCTCATCCCACGAAGCTCGATCCAAGGCCTTGGGGACCTGTGGCGCCCACGTCTGCGTCATCCTCATCTCTTACACGCCAGCTCTCTTTTCTTTCTTCACACATCGCTTTGGCCACCACGTGCCACACCATATTCATATTCTCTTGGCTAATGTGTATCTGCTCTTCCCACCTGCCCTTAACCCTGTAGTCTACGGAGTTAAGACCAAGGAGATTCGTGAAAGGGTTATCAGAGCATTTCAAAGGGGACAGGGAACAGCGTCCAAGGCACCTAAATAACCCTAGAATAGAGAAGAGATATAGTAAAAGTAAAATGCAAAACACAGCTTTCCAAGATTCATAAGGCCTCAGTATTTGAGACTAGAAAACGTTTGATAATATCCTCTGTAGAAACTTCTGATCATTTTTCTTTATCCTCTCTCTCTCTCTCTCTCTCTCCCTCTCTCCCTCTCTCCTTCTTTAGTCCGGTTGTGGGGCTTGAACTCTGGGCCTTGGCACTGCCCCTGAGCTCTTCAGCTCAAGGTGAGCGCTCTACCACTTGAGGCACAGTACTACTTCTGGTTTTCTGGTGGTTAATTGGAGATGAGTCTCATGGACTTTCCTGCCTGGCCTGGTTTTGAACTCCATCCTCAGACCTCAGCCTTCTGAGTAGCTTGATCATTTCTAAGAATGATGATCACAGGGAGAGCAAGGAGCTTTAGCATTCTTCCTTTTGATCTAGGCAAATGTAAACACAGGAAGATTCTTGCAAGCTTGGTGGTACCTAGACATTGAGAGTAACTACTTCTGCCTTGGAGAAAGTCTCTCCATTCCAGTTCAGAAGAGCCTCTGCATGGTTATGAGGTCTCCTCATGTCCTGGCCCCTTCCCACTACTTATAGCAGGGATTTCTGGTGTCATATTTTAGTCTGTCACTGATACCTTACCGTGGGTAAGGATTTGGACATAGGACAATAAAGCTCCAGTTAAAGAAATAAGAATCACAAAGGATATATGATGCATTTGCACAAATCCTATATTCTCCATCAGAACTTCAAATGAGGAAAAATAAAAAGATCCATTACCACCCACAATACACCTTAGCAGAAGAACAAGGGATTGAAATAAAATTTTTTGGTATAGAACATTGAGACTTCTCTGGTTGAGGGTACAGGAGAGATTGGGAATTGGCTATCTACCTCACAAATACATTACTGTCTCCAGCCCTTAGAAAGCAAATCTAAGCAAGCCCAAATGACACTGGATTTAACCTTCAGTGCATAACTTGCAAATATTTTTACACATTAATATCATTGAGATGGACTTCCAGAAATCACTGCTTCTTATTTTTTGAATGGGTAAAGGACAGTCACTTATCAAAATCAGAATGAAGGCTTTAGCGATTCACTCACTCACTTGTGATTTGGAAGAAAAATGCAGATTAATCTTAGTTAATTGTAAGTGGTATAAAGCTCTAAACTGCATCTATGAAATTAGGACAGGAAACTGGTTATTATACTTGCAGTGCCTTCTGAACTCTAAGACAAGTAACTTTAGAAATTGCTCTATTAGAACATTCTAGTAACAATGATCATTTTTTAAATTTTGTAGTTACCTTTAGTTTACAAAGGAATTGCCATGTAACAAAGCAGTTTATGAATACAGTATATCGTGATCAATATAACCTTTTCAACATTTTCATCCATCCCTTTCACTTTGACTTTATTCCTATTACATATTTTCTGCCTGTCAATCTCTCAGTAAGCCACCCTGTATTGTTAGACTGATGATGCAGTCCCTACCAATGCCCTAACATTCACAGCATTCACAAAACTTCCCATTCTTGGGAAATATCAGTACCGAGAATAGAAAATCAAAATTCATCTGTTGAAAGCTTCGAGTCTTGGGAAAATAAATGTTCTGTTCTGATTGGAATACTTCAAGTAGGTGGGGAAAACTATATATATATATATATATATAGTAATTTAATAAAGTATATTGGGTAAATTTTCAAAAGGAAAGTTAAACATTATTTCACTATAGGAATCGGTAATGCAGGGGATGACACTGATTCTAATAGTTTATTTTAATTCTCAAAGGTTGATAGTCTTCATATCTTTTTTAAACTGACCCAAAATTCTAGTGGGCATGGTACTAGGTTAATATAATCTCAGCACTCAGGTGATTGAGATAAGAAAGTCATGAGATTACAGTCTGCCAGGACTATGCAGCAAGACCTTAAAACACAACAATTACATACAATTTTAAATACTATATTTCCTCCAGTAGATTTACTTTGAATTATTTTCAAATGGACAGTCTTGCCAGCTCAAAACCCTACAACCCCAATTCTGGAACAATCCTATACTGGAGGGCATGGGTTCCTGTACTCAGAGTGTGGAGCACACCTGAGAAAAATTCACAGATACATAGATCTGAAGCACTGTCTGCTTATAAATTCTCACTTTAACTGAGATTTCAATGTCACATGTCCATGGTTTAACCTGTCCATGGTCTATATTAGTAAGTTTGACCACATTCAGCTCCCTATATAACTTCTGCTCTAAAATGTTTCATCAATTTATGTCTCATAAATATACACGATACCATTAGAAGTAAATTATCTCTCCAGGCATTGGTGGCACTTGCCTGTAATCTTAACTATTTAGGAGGCTGAAATCTGAGGATCGAGGTTCACAGCCAGCCTAGGCAGGAAAGACTGTGAGATTCTTATCTCCAGTTAACCACCAGAAAACCAGAAGTGGTGCTGTGGCTCAAGCGGTAGAGTGTTAGCCTTGAACTGAGGAGCTCAGGAACAGTGCCCAGGCCTTGGGTTCAAGCCCTATGACTCACACACATGCAAAACAAAACAAGAAAAACACAAAAAATCCCAACAACAACGAAAACACAACTATCTCATTACACAACTATCTTCACACATTTTTTTTGAATATGTGTAAACACAGGGCTTTGAACTCAGGGTCCCTAGCTTTTACTTTGCTTTTTGCTTACAACTGACATTCTACCATTAGAACCACACCTGTACTTCCAGCTTCCTATTTTTGTTCTGATTTTGGAGTTGAACTCAGGGCCTGGAGCTTTTGGACTCAAGGCTGGCATTCTACCACTTGAGCCACAGCTCCACTTCTGTATTTTGGAGTGATTAGTTGTAGTTAAGAGTCCAGACTTTCCTATCTGGGCTGTCCTTGAACTGTAATTCTTAGATCTCAGCCTCCTGAGTAGCTAGAATTACAAGCATGAGCCACAGATGCCCAGTCCATCCAGCATTTTGCTAGTTAACTGGAGATGAGAATCTGCCAGACTTGTCTGCCCTAGCTGGCTTTGAACCATGATCCACGTATCTCAGCCTCCTGAGTAGCTAAGATTACAGGTCCTTGAAGTTACAAATCCTTTCTCTCAGCCTCCAGAGTGTTGTATCACCACATATGGCTATAAAATTTATAAATTTCCAATCTTAAAGGAATTGCAAAAGGGTAAAAATTTTGAATGAGGCCCATAAAGAAAAAAAATAAATAAAAACAAAATTTCAAAATATAGAAATAAAGTATCAGTATCTTTAGTTACTAAGCTATTGTAACTTCAGAATTTTCCAAACTAAGTTGGCAAATTTAAATTTATGATTATCACTGTCACTATGGTTTAAGTTTAGCCAATGTATCATTTAACTGATATAGTGAAACTTCATGGGTCCTAAAACTTTAAATATATGAATAAAACTAATTCTGAATGATTAACATTGTCTTTATGAAAAAGAAAATCGAATAATTAGGTACTTTTAATATGTTTTAATATCTCATATTGGAAATGTCTTGGTCACTTTAGTTACAAATAATCGAGAAAATTATCTGTTCATATTTTAGGAGACTCATATGGGTAATTAAATTTTCAACTGACTGTTGTATGGGTCATGTAGCTAAAAAGATAGCAGAATTAAAGACAAAAACTAATATATAATATATATATAATATAAAAACTATATATAAAATATAAATATATTTATATATAAATATATAAATTTATATATATAATATATAATATAAAAACTAATATAAAATATAGAGAGATAAATTAAAAGTCTATGTGTATATCTATCTATATATATATAATATACTTTTTTGTGCAGGTACTAGGGTTTGAACTCTAGTCTGGCACATTTGTTCAGCTTTTGTTGTTGTTGTTGTTGGTTGTGGGGGCTGAACTCTGGGCCTGGATGCTGTCCCTCAGCTCTTCAGCTCAAGTCTAGTGCCCTACCACTTCAGCCACAGTGCCACTTGCGGCTTTTTTCTGTGTGCAAGGCAAGCACTTTACTACTGAGCCAACTCCCAGGCCTGTTCAATTCTATTGCTCATAGCAGTAACTCTAACACTTGAGCCAAACTATCACTCTGCCTTTTTTCCTGGATAATTGAAGATAGAGCCTCACAGAATTTTCTTTCTAGGTTGACTTTCGACCAAGATCCTCAGATCTCCAAATCTTATGTAGCTAGGATTACATGCTTGAGCCACTGGTGCTCAGCTAAATTTGTGCTCTTGTAAATAAACATAAGAAAGTTACTTAAAACATGTCATTTATAAGTGAATTTAAAATTCGAACAAATTCAAATTCAGGGTTTGCATGCATTTTTTGTAACTGCAGGAAATACTGGCATAAGGTTGAGAGTGCTGAATTTTGATTTTTCTAAAATGTAAATGAATATGCTGGTATTGTAAAGCTGAAATGTCATTTAAAATTTAGTCATTAACATTAAATCAAAGATTGGAAGTTTCATAAGGTTTGCCAAATTAAAAAATATATTCATGAGAGAAGGTGTGACATTGTTCAAAAAGAAATGTACTCATTACCTGACTTATGTAACTGCATTCCCTCTGTATATCACCTTTACAATACAATTTTTAAAAATCTTCATATCTATACATCTGTATATTAATAAGTAAGGAGGGGAATGTTTATGCCTTCCCTGATCAGGGGAATCAGACAAAACTGACATTAGCTTCATCCATTCTCAGTGGAATCCCAGGACTGGATGACAGGAACATCTGGTTTTCCTTCCCACTTTGCTCCAATAGGTGGCTGTGATTGAGAATGGCGCATTCCTCCATTTCATCCACTAAGGATTTCCTACACAGGGCTATGGATTACTTTTTAGTAATGCTTTATTAACATGTCTTGTTGTGTGCTCTAGTAAAATCTTTTAAAACTTGAACATATTCTGATTCTATCTTAAGGAAGTAGGCTTTGTTGTAGTCTGGTCCAGATATATTAAGTTCAAGGTGGTTCAAC